TCCAGAGCCACCTCTGAACTGGTGGTCAAAAGTCAACGTGGTGTGAGAGCATCCATAGTGGTAGGGAGCAATTGTCTGGCTGAATGGGGTTTTCCAGCAGGTACCTGAATCCTGCTGTTTCATGAAGCCAATGAAGTGGGAAGTCGGTGYAAGGAGCTTCATTTCATGCCTTGGGTGCCATGAACCCAAACCCACTACCAGAAGTAGGGACAGTCAAAAACCAGTAGGCAAAAAATTGGAAACATCCATGCATTGCTCACCTTGGCAGCACGCAGGTAGGTGCTACACGATGGCACCCACCTGGGGTGCGCACGCAGGGTTCCCCAAGCGGCTCTGGCCACACATCACAGTCCAGCCTGGATGAAATGTTGTTTAACAGTGGGGAAAATGCAAAGGGAATGGGAGACTGGAGCAATTGCTGTGCATCCAGCAACGAATCCTTGTGGCCTCAAAGCCCACGGTTGGGTTGATGGATGAAAATGTGTATTGGCAAAGTAAATGGGTCAGTGGAAAAAGTGCCCAGAGTGGTTCAGAGGGGCAATTTAAGAACAAATCAAATCATTGTGTAAGAAACAATTATCCTGAAATGGAACRGAATACATACATATATATGTACACACACACACACACATATATATATATCTCCACTTAAAGGCAATCTTCATAAACAGGTTGAACAAGATTATGAGACTGGAGGAACAGATGGGAAAATGGAACAAACAGATGGAAAAACTCTATTTCTGAAAAAAAAAATCTATTTGTAAAACTATAGCTGCTTTGAATGAATGTTTCAATGCTATAGAGCTGAGGCATCAGAAAATTCATAACAAGGCCATAAATCCGTACATCTGAGATCAATGGAATGGCAGTTCTTCCAGGCAGGTTAATAGTGCGTGTTTTTCAAACACCCTCATCATATGCATTATTTATCCATGCATATACATCCACATAGGTTCTCTCCTGAACTTTGAGGCTTCATCTCATTCACTTTACAGTTAAAAAATGTAAGTTTTTCAATACTCACGGAAAAGAAAAAGAGCAGTTCCCCCTGCTTTCTACAATCAAGCTACAGGAAAGGACGAATCTGGTCTTACCAGGCTCAGAAGTCCTACAGACAAATATGGGAGGAGGAGAAAGTCCTGTGGCTTGGTCATCAGCTTCAAGAGAAGCTAAAAGCATTTCCTTTAGAAAACTCCTGCCCAGCTGTCCCTGCAGTTACAACAGGAAAAAACAAGGGAAAGAGAAGACAGAAGACCCCAGTACTAGTTGGTTTCCCTGCTGAATCAGGAAGAAATCTCACAGCAGCCACGCTGGGATCTGTGCCCCCTGAAGAAACTAAGTCCAGTGCACACATTGCACAGCATTCCTGCATGGAGATGGATGAGGGAATTACAGCAAAAGTTTTCAGCAGCGAATGGGTTTCGGAGGCTCTCCCAGGACTWAATGAGTTCAGTGACCTCAAAGCAGTGACTTGCATTAACAGCAACCAAGAGGTTTCACACAAGGTGCCACGACCCCACGGACTCAGGAGATGGGTGCTCGGGTCAGGCAAGCAGCGTTAATGGGTGATGTTTGTTTGACCRTCTTGGCTTTAACCCCTCTGAACATCAGTTTCTGAGCTGTAAGAGGGGATATTAGACGAGCTCCAGCTCACTGGGGAGAGGGCAAGGTTGTATTTTTAATTCAGTGCTGTCAATAGCCCAACGAGAGCACAGGAGAAAATGCAGCCTCCCTTTTACAGCACTGGGTGCCATGGTGGGCCACTACCCAACAACTGGGCTTTGCTTCCTTGCTTATCTCCTCTCGTCTCTTTTAAATTGGTGCTGGGCTCTGGAGGACTCCGTCCCATATCTGGGTCTTAGCAGATTTGCCCACATGTTTCAGTGCATGTGTCTCTGGGACTCGTAAAAGCGTCTTTAGCATCTACGTTCCACTTCAAGGAGGGCCTGTCAACGACGGGCGCTAATGTCATTAGCGGGTTACAAGGGGGGAGCAAGAGCGAATTTGCGCCAGATCCTCATTTCCATAATCTTGCCTCTACATCCTAGTTGTCAGCTCTTAACCTCAAATCCTTCACCTCCAAATCTGTGGCGTCGCTGACCTTGGGGATTTGTCTTCAAACTGATTTCAAGTTTCAGGGAATCTAAATTCGGCTCCCAGTGACAGAAGACAAACTTGGTCTTTGCACCCAAATGTGAAAGACAGGCCCAGAGTGCAAGCAAAATCTTGCAATCGTTTTTTTCAAGCCATCTGCCCATCTGCAGTCCCATAACAATGTCAGTGCGGTGCTGGCGTCCTCTCTCTCGCAGGAATAAAGAAATTACCATAAACAAAGCAGATCAAGGGTCTATTTAAGCCAAATGTGGCCAAGATACATTGCTTCAGAAAAAAAAAAATAAAAAAGAAAGAAAAAGAAGAGAARGAGAGAAATAATGATGCTACAGGGGAAGCTTYTTCCTACCTCCTCTTAGCTCAAGTTTGGCTAGTGACACAGGTCAGGACAGAATTTGTGTTGCATAGTCCTTAAATGTAGGTCCTGTGCAGCAAACTGGCCGGGCACACAGGCAGAAGGATTTGTGGTTGCAATAGCAGGTTGAGCTGAGCAGTGGGAGCTCGGCTGGTCTCCATGTGAGAGGGACAGAATGGAGAAATGAGGTTAAGAAGTGTCCCGATGTCTAGGTCAACGAGAGGCGATGGCTGCAGTGCCGGGCACTGCCGAGCGGGGAAGGGGAGCTGCAGGAGCCCCACACTCATTATTATGTTCAGCTGCCTAATTACCACGTGTCAGCTGTCTGATGGAAGGAACCCTCTACTGTGRCCTCTCGTTTGGGGATTTATAGCCGTTAATGGGCCTGGAGGGAATGGCTAACGAGAAATGTTAGAATYGGTAAATAGGCATCACCGTGCAATGAGTAAGGTGGGAAACGTGACAAATGAGCCCAAGTACAAGAAAGATGCAACTACCTCAAAGGAATGGCCTAGGGGGGAGCTACACAAGGGGCCGCAGGATGGGACAATGGAGGGGTGATCCCAAGGAAACCCCAAACTAGCAGTGACAAGGAACTGAGCAAGAACCATGCTCCAAACTGTTTTGAGCAGCCTTGGGAAGACTTGGAGAACAAACTCACACTGACCTGGCAGTCTACGGCTACAACCTTATTTCCTGCTTTCTCTCATGTCTCCTAGGGAGCCACCACAATGTGACGGCCCCGTGTTGGGTGATGACCATGGCACTGTGTCTTACATCACCACCCAGACCTTTAAATATATTGAGGTATCACAAAGCTTCTCTTAGTTCATTTCTTGCGCACAAATCACTTGGGTGTTGGCTGAATCAGTAATATCCTTGAATTAATTAACAAACAGCTTTACTGTGTGCTTCAGACTGCTGCTGACTCAGTGTCCACATTAGTAACACCTTCAGATTTATCCTTAAAAAAGATAATAACAATAAGTTATTATTATTATCTTATTATTATAAAATAGATTTGGGGCCACCTTCTCTTGTATTTCTATGTAGATTCACAGCTAGCTCAGGTCTTCTACAGATCTTCTTCAAAAGCTGGCAATGAGAAGGTGCTTYAACTTTTACTATTTTGAAAAATCTTGATAATTTTAGTAAATTCCACTAGAAATAGTTAAATCATTGAAAGTATCAAGAGTTAAGGAAGAAAAACAACAGCCTCTTAACTTTCTTAGTTTAAAACCTCATTGAAATCATTTGGCAATCACTGGTCTGCTAAATCTGTCCACCACCAGCATCGGCTGATTAGAGCATTCACTGAGCAGCCTAAAGTAATCCTTTGTGYTAATGTCCCCATCTTTATAATAAGAAACTAGAATCCCGGATTCAAAGATTTTGAACTTTGGGTCAGGGGAAATCTAGAATTACATCTGCCACAGAATTCTGAAATTTGAACCCGTTTGTACCTGCCAGATCAAACCCCTCTCTCAGCACGGCTTTCCCATTTTATTTCGAGTACAGCAACGTTATTCAAATCTCACTCCATTGAAAGATGCAGCTGTTTCTATTTTTGGTGCATCTCTGCAAAAGAATAGGGAAACGAGCAACAATTCTGCACTGTGCTTGGTGATCAGCAGTATCTCTATGGAAGATGTTTGTCACTCACTGGAAACAGAAAGCAGGAAAGTAATAGCATAGGTGCTTCTGCCTTTTAAATAAGACATAATGGGCCATCATGACGTGTTTTCTCCACAACAGTAGTTTCAGAAAGCTGGGATAATTTTCAGAGGACCCAGAGCTAGATCATAGATGAGGATGCAGTTATAGAAGAGCTCTTTTCCTTTTCCAGCATATCTAAATACTAAAATTGCTTATAGAAAAAAAAAATTATATCAATGAACTCATCTTCAGAAGAAAGATCAATTTATCTAAATAACTCTTTGCGTTGGGTACTGTTTGGTATCCAAATCCCATGTAAGGAACTGTGAGAAAGGAATGAAAGAATCTCTTAAAGTACATTATCACTCAGCCTGTGCATTAGCAGATTTTTAGTATGCCCCCTGATTTAACAAAAAGGCAAGATGCAGCAAACAAAGGATTCTTGGTATCCCAGAAGCAAGCTCAGACCCCATGGTTTCAGGAACCGCTCGCACCCCTGACTACATCAAGCTCATCTAATCAGATCCAAACAAACCTACTCTACGGGATGAGACTACATGTAAATTTTTGGCAAATGATCAGAAAAAAAAAAAAAAAAAAGAGTGAAAGCAGGAAAGTGTCGCTTTTCCCTCTGCCGATGGATTCAAGAGGAGCCATGTAGCCCCTTGCGCTTGCTGTTAGGATGCACGCGTTGCCTGGCAAATATCTGTGGTTAATGCTCAGCATACTGATGAAGACTGCAGGACTTCGCAGCCTGGAGACTGTCCAGTTCTCGTCACTGCAGGCTGTGGTGGGGAGGACGGTCCTGCTGGCTCCATCCTGGCAGTGATCTGCTGCAGGACACTGGTGGACCCCATCCTTGGCCACCCTCCCAGCACGTCCTCCAGCCCGGCTTGGCTCCTCTCTTGCCCTGGAGGCTGTAGGACACAAGCAGGACGTGGGAGGGATCTGCCAGACCCAGAAGCACATGGAATCACCAGGCAAAGATGGGTGCCCAAGAGCCTTGTGCAAGCAACCCTTCCTAGACCAAAACCAAAGCAACCCCCTCAACCTCCCCAAGCTGAAAATCTTCCTTGCTGCCCTGAGTAGGAATTACTCTTTTTTTTCCCCTCCAAAACCTATACATTAAGTAACATCTGCACTGCCCTGGAATCACCACAGTACCTGAGCACATCCCAACACACCTTGTGGTAGGAAGTGTGATTGTCCACATTGCACTCACAGGACACGGAGGTGGCATTACTTGCCCAGTGTCATGCAGTGAGTTCACCAGGAAACGGCAGGGGGAAAAAAAAAAAAAAAAAAAAAAAAAAGGATTTCTTGACTGTGAGGACTGTGTTTTACTTACAGGGACACTACTTACCTTTTGAGGAAACTCTCTAGTGAAGTACACAGAACCTTCTGGCTTGGAAAATACAATTTTGGTAAAACAAAGCTGTTTTAAAAGCTGAAATATTTCCACATGATAGGTCTAATTTCCACACCCAAATGCACTAAGCAGTCCACCAAGCACAGCTTGCCTGCTGGCCTTGTGTTCCTCTTGAGCTGTTTTTGCCCACACAACTGGCGTTCTCCAGCTTCCTGAGCTGTAGGGTGTCTCATGCATCAGATTGGCTAAAATACAGCCAAGTTGCTTTATCTCYTTTCCCTTTTCCTTCCTGAAGCTTGGGAGCAGGAAATTCTTGTCCTTCTGGGCTGTTCTGCAAAGGGGAGGATGAAAAAGGACAACAGAAAGGACTAATTACTCACTATTTCTTTTAAGGAGAGGAGGAGAATTGCTCATTAGCTGCAGGTGAGCCTTCATATGCAGCAACAGGATCACTCTGCATTTAAGAGTCCTGCAGGGCTGTGAAAGCAAAGCAAAATCATCAATACTGTCARCTGTTCACTGCTGTCTGAATAGTAATGATTGTTATAATTAATTTTTCAAAAAAATCAGGTTACATAATTGCTTTCCTTACTTGTAGAGGTCAACATACTAACCAGCCTTTTCATCAGCTACTTGACCCACTCGACATGCCAGAACAGCAGCAAAGTCACTGCAAATGCCTCCTTTGCTCTCCCTGCAACAGAAGCAGCCATACGAAGGCTGGTATTCCATCCCCTCCATAAAAAATGGTTCAAAAGGCAAATTTTGCCTTTGTAGGGAGTTTCTTTAGACCCAAACTCACCCYCAGCAGCAGCCCAGCACTCTCTGCTTTTCAGGCACATTAACACTTGATTGAAATGATGAAAACTAAAACCTCTAGTTAAAACATTCAATATTCTACCTGCCATCAATCTATCGCAAAGTGAAATATTTCATCCCAATTTTCCCAGTGATAGCTATATTTTTAAGGTCTTTTATATATATATATATATACACACACACACATATATATATTCCCCACAGCAAAAATTTTATGTTTTTTGAATCAACTTTTTTTTTTTCTGTTGAAAAATGACAGGATGGAAAATCCACAGCTATCTCTACTTATAACACATCACGGTTAGGTGTGTGTGCATAGCATTTAGCACAGCATAAAACATAACATATCACATAACACATCCAGGTGGGTGTACATATGGCATGGGCACAAAAAGTAAGTTTTAGAAACAAAGTTTGAGGACACAGGCAGTATCGAGAAAGAAAGGAGGGTTAAACAGCATGCAGATGAGGCTGGTGTAGAGACAGAGGCATTTTCTTGAAATCAGAGATGGTTAAAATAAAAAAAAAATACTGTGCAGGTGTCACAGATTGGAGGTGCTTTCAGTTATTATCAGGAAAAAGCACAGAAAATAACACATTCATATGTGCTGGGGAAAAGCAGCCAGGTCTCAGCAGGGAGGAAGTCAAAAAAGGAGCAGGTCCTAAGTACAACTGGTCAAAAATGCCAAGTGCTTTCCCCTCTTTGCCTGAAAATGTCATTTCTTCAAAATTTTCCGGGCACATGAAGATTTCAATAGCACCGACGGCAACAACAGAGTTCCCCATATGCTGCGTTGTTTACTTTTGAGGGGGATTGCTGACAGATTTTAGCTTGGACATGTGTGATTTTAAACCATCTTCCGCCCTTTGGTTCAATAAGATCTTGCAGTGCTCCCAGCTCCTGGCGTGATGCAGAGCACTCCTGGAAAACGCCGGCGTTTCCTGCAGCGCAGGGAAATTCCCACCCTTGGTGCCTTGGGCAGCAGTGCAGAGAGGTGTCCAAATCCATGTCACAGCTCCCCAAAACGGTGCCCAAACCTGGGGGAGGAAAGATCTTCACCAGACCACACACAGAGGCACCTATGAGGGACCAAAAATACCAGAAACCACAATGATTTGCCAAACATTCCAGCAATGTTACAGTTCATATGGATTGCTGTTGGTTTGCATGCTTGCTTTTTTGCTGGTAAACGTGGAGAATTAGCTAAATGAGGCTGGTTCTGAGGGTGTGGCGAATCATCTCCCCTTAGCCTCAGTCCAAGGAGGGGATTTTCAGCCGCCCGGCCGCTGCCTCCAGCGAAACGGGGGCCGCTGCAGCAGTTGAGTCCCGCGCTGCCACCGGGAGCTCTCAGCTGTGGTTACCAGCTGGGCTCCGCAAGCGACGCTTTCCAAAAAACCCATCTGCTGCATCCGAGGCTCCCGCAGCCAAGAATCTGCTACTTACTGCCACGAAACCACTCCGCGTTTTCACAGAGGTAGCTACCAGCGTTGACATTTTGGGAGAGAAAAGGAAGGTGTATTTTAGCAACCGTTATTTTCAGTGTCGAAAAGAAACACTCATCCTGCTGGGGCAGCGCTGTCTTGTCCTGCTGGAAACCTACCCTGCTCATGTTTAGATAGGTGTCTTTTGCTAATCAGCACTACGGGCCAGCTCACAGCTTTTTTTTGGCCTTTTTTTAAAACATTTTACATCTGTTCTATGTCTCTGATTGATGCCTTTGCCTTCAGCCTGTTTCCCTCTTCTCAAATTGAAGATTATAGGCAGAAATCAACCAGCTGAGACTCTCGTCCCCCTGGCCTCGAGATGTCCCATGGGTAGAGAGCTACACTGGAGCTCGTGGTCTGGATTCCCGCAGTGCCAATGGAGAAAAGCCAATGGCCAGAGCAGGATTTATCTGAGCTACCTGAGGCATCAGCCCAAGAGGAAGGTGGTCCATGCGTCATCAGCACCCATAGCTCTCAGAGGGCAGGGAGAGGAGAAGTCAACGTCGGGAGGTGCCTCCTGGTCTAGAGCACTGGCTGGTCCAAACTTCCAACCTTGACTGTGCTGCAGAGTGGTGGTTAGGTCTGGCTGAGCTCAGAGCTTGGCCGCCCTGTGAGTATTAAACACTCTAGAACAATTCCTAAAGTTGATTAGATTAGCGGCGCATCCGGCCCGACCTCGCACAATGGAGCTTTGGAAAATCTGAAGCAGAAAACAACAGCTTCCAAGCGAAGAGAACAATAGCAAGTTCTCTCTAAGAACAAAACACAGCAACYATTAAAACTGGACAGGAATCAAGAAACTGGATCCCAACAGCATAGCAGGAACTTTTAAAAATTACCAAAGCTGAACTCGGGTGTACATCCTGATTTTGCAAATGGGCATTGCAGAAGTAAAATTGTTGGCTATAGACTTCTCAAAACCTTCTGCTTGTCAAAATCCAACCTGATATTCAAATTCTGAGATTTGAGGCAATCTCTGTAAATCACCGAAAGAGATGGCATGTGATTATCCAGTATTATAACCCAAACCACTGCCTTAAAATGCAACCCAGCTTCCGTTTATACTACACCTTTCTCCAAAAATCTGCGAAAAAACAGTAGCAGTGGTGATCTTGTTCAGGTTCTTTTAATAAAGCAGCTTAGCATGGTTGCATCTTGGGGACTAGCTGCTGGGTAAATGGATCCTGCTTTGGGAAGGGAGGGGAGGAAGGGGGACCAGGTCTGTCAGTGGGGCATGGTGAAGGTCTGGTGCCTCTCTGCTCTAGTTGCCTGCTTTTAATCTGCAGCCAAGTGTCTGCTAACGCTCCCCAAATCTTTGGGGATCCTAGAGACAGACAAGAGAGTTTGTGCATGAAAAAACAGCAGAAAGAATCCAGCTCTGAAAATCCATCCTGTTTACGTGATAGTTTGAGCACCCAAAAACCAAGGCAACAGACTTCACTTTTCCCATAAAAAGGCAGACCTCACACTCACAAATAGTACATACTTTAAGAACTAATCACAGGGAACTGATGAAGCATGCTAGCCTGGAAAAGAAGGAGAAAATAAACGTAAGAGAAATAGAAGTAAAATCCAGGTGAATGATTTCCAATGTTATTTTGTGAGCTACTACTGAGCTGCTTGGAGCAAAGGATGCAGTCAACTGTCTTGAAACCAGCTCTGGATATTCAGGGCAAAATGCTGCCGTGAAGATGTATGAACCAAAAGCTTGGSTTTGAGGGAGCCCAAGCTGGTGTGAAGCAGGTAGGGTGCACTGACCTGGGAGGAGAGGATACATCACTCATATGGACATGGGCAACCTTCATCCTACACGTGATGGCACCTCAGCCTGAAAGCGAGTGCTAAAAAACTACTGCTTTTCAGTAAACATTGGGAAAGAATCCTGAGGATTAATGCAAACAGCTTGGAAGGCTGCAATGAGACAAACTGGATGACTCTTCACAAATATGGACTACTTTTCTCCAAGCTGGAAGAGCCATAGGGCATGTGAACCAAGCACACCGTAACACGAGGCCTTAATTAAAAGCTAAATTGTACCTATGTTAAAAATGCATAAGTAAATTAAATGCACAGGGGTCACTTCAGTCATGGAGGTCATGAAATTGTATCACAACCATCAAATGCAGAAGGGGGCAGAGGACAGCAGCTCTGCATGCATTCAACCAACACATGCTGCAAAAGCACTTTGCAAAATGCRGGAACAAGGTGAAGGCTTTTTGTGCAGATAAATAAAGCCACAAAGAGCAACAGCAAAGAATATGAGCAAAGGAAAGGCTGAGGGCTCGGCTCTTCTGTAGCAGGGGATTTACTCAGGGAAAATGCCTGATTAATTCCAAGAGATAGATTATATCCCACCCCACAGCAAGGCCTTGCTGCCCCTTTTTCCTCCCTCTACAGCTTGACCTAAATCTGATCTGGAGGCAAACTCTTTCCTCAGCCCAAATCTGGCACTCATGTCACCCCGAATGTATAATCAAAACACGGCAGCCAGCGCTCGAGATGTTTTTCTTGAATACCAGCAGGAGCAATAACACACCATGTTCAACATCCCATCGACAGCTGCTTCGGAGAAAAGCAGGGAAAAAAGTCCGAGGCGACGAACTCGGCATCAGGGCCATGGGGAGAGCCGCAATTAGCTGGTTTGTGCAAATCCCAGAATTGCAGAAGAGAGGCCCTGCTCCTTTCTTCCTGCGCAGTTTTTTCCTTTAAAGAAGAGCAGATTGTAACAACAGCAGTAAGAAAAACAAAGAAGTGACCAAGGAGAGGGCATTTCCATGGAGCGAGCCAGGTGCGCTCCCCTGCAGGCTCTCCCTTAGGGAGAAAGGACACGGGGGTTGTTATTGGGCCATTTGCCTTTGGAGGCTCTGAACACGGCTGCTAATTAGACCCCGGAACAACGTCTTAATGAACTGCCTTCCCCTGGAGCTGTGTGAGCGCTGCTCGGAGGGGAGGCCAGCGTGCAGCTCCCCATGGCCCTGGGGGACAGCAGTGACACGAGCATGGCTTTGAGGACTGGATTTAAGGCGCCGAGTGCAATAGGTCGGTTTTCCCTGGTGGGTTTGCAGCCGGCAGGTCTGGACACAAGGAGAAGGGGATGTTCTTCTCTCACTCCGTGTGACAAGAGACACTTTCCTGGGCAGTCGTGCCCAGTGACCAACTCCGGATCAACCCTCCTGCCCCCTTCCCCAGATGCCCTGGGCCACTGAGAGGCACTTCCCTGCAGACTCATCCCGCTCCCATTCCAGGCCTCTTCCCGATGGGAATGCTGAGGACAGAGACCTCCCGGAGATGCAGGTAAAGCGCTGCTGCAGCYGAGATGCGGGATTTGAGCAGCTCTTCCCAGCATATCCTTAAACAAACCCATGAGAGGAGCCAGAACCGCCCCAAACTTTCTCCTTCAGCCTGTAATTTTGAGACAACAGGCCAATCCTTTCACTCCTCCAGCGGCGAGCAGAGAAAGGCAGAGAAATGGAAAAACCCTTTATAGAAATATCAGCTGTTCCTCCTCACTCCCACCCCCAGCTCTGTTTTTTGACAAGTTAAAGCGAGGCCATAACTTATTCTGCTTTGTTCGACAGGGCTAATCACACGTGACTCTAATCACTCATGATGTTTTATTGATTTTAAGCGCATTTAATCAGAAATTGGCTCCGAGTTAGATTCCTGCTAATTACCGAGAAGCAGCAGTTTGAATGACTTCACAATTGGGCTGCAGATTAGAATGGACAATATGTACTAAAATAATGATTCATGCATTCAGCTCCCTGGATTTATTTTGTTTATATTGGATTTTTTAAAGACATAATTCTGCATATGGGCAAGCAGCATTTAAAACCCTTAACAAAATGGGCTTAATTTACCCGGCGAGGCTTTAGCCAGGGATGGGCTGCGCGAGGAACAGTTTATCCCTTGCAAATGTAATTCCTTCTCTGAAGGGCATCGGAGGTGCCTTGCCCTGTGTTGGAGCAGGCACCATGCATGGGTAGCTGTGGCTCTGTGGGGAGGTTTCCAGCTCAGAGGACCCTTCCACATGGGTGCCATGGTGCTTCCATTTTGCAGGACTGGGATCTTATACTGAACCTGCAAGTTTTCCCATCCTAAAGCTGGGGTGGGGTTTTTGTGCTACTGCCCTGATTCCCAGCCCTGAAATCCACCCCAAATTGCAAAAACCTCTGGTATCCCAGCTGCTCCTAAAGGTCAAGGTGCCTCCAGAGCAGCAAATCCACTCCACGAGCCTGGAAAGGAAGGAGAAACTTGCATTTTGGGGGCAAACCACTTACAGATACTCTGGGAAAAGAGTTTGCTCCCACTGTTTGTCTGAGCAGCGCTGAGCGGGCTGTAGGAGAGCTGGGGCTCGACGGCTGGGAACAGCGAGGCTGACGAGAGCCCCCGTAGCGGGACCGGCTTCCTGCGCCAAGACAGAGACTGGGGAAAGCAACGCGCGGGGTTCAGCCTCCAGCACACGAATCACAGCTGCCGAGCCCATCTCTCAACATCAAAGTGTTAGAGAGTTTACATTCCCAGAAAATGTTCTCAACCTCAGGAAAAAAAATAAAAAGTTTTCTCACTCAGAATCAGACCATTGCCAGTTACACCCCGGTAAGTGTTTTCTGTTTCTTTAGTAGCCAAGGGTGTCTCATCTGCATCAGTGCAGGCAATCCACAGAATCACACACCATCCCAGAATGGTTGAGGTTGGAAGGGACCTCTAGGGATCATCCAGTCCAGCCCCTGCTCCAGCAGGGACACCCAGAGCACCCAGGGTCACATCCAGGCAGGTTTTGAAGATCTCCAAAGGAGACTCCAAAGCAGCTTTAAATGCGACAGTGAAGCTGTGCACGCTCATGAGCAGATGTGGCCAAGCACGATCTGTTCCTCACCCGCAACCTGCTAGAAGMCAAACTAGTCTAGAGACTGCTGTGAATTTGGACTGGTAAAAAACTTTCCTTCCAAATGGAAGCACAAAACTCCCTTTTCCCTCTGCGCTATCTCACTTCTGATGAAAACATGAAGCATCCTGCAGTTTTCAGCTAGAATTTTCAAGTTCCTAGTTGTAAAGTCAAAATTTTCCATGGGAAAGAACCAAAATCCTATTTTCCAGCACTGCATACTTAATGTAATTTTGCCAACCCGATTTTCATACAAAAAAAAAAGTTCAGAAAGATGCACAGAGTAGTCTCCAACAATCAGGGCCTGAAGAGCATGCAGCAGCTCTGAAATCTCCCTGTCTGCTCCCACTCCTTCCTGCAGGTTTGTGACTCTATGACAGTGAGTAGAACTGGCTCACGGATGATGTGCAACCTCAGATTCACCGAAAAATTCAGAAATTCACCCCAGATCCACTGCTGGCCTCCCAAGGAAGCCCTGTGGCAATCCATTTGTTACTGAGAAGCGACAGAGTTTTTTAGTCTTTTAATATTGTTGCATACATAATGTAGAGATCCTTTACCCTTTAGGTAGGCCTCAGATAATAGTAAATTGTGCAGTTCTGTCTTTGTTGTGCTCTTCATGTTCCTCACAATCCTACTTTTTAGCACTGCAGAACAGGATTTACAGCATCCTACCTTCCCAAAACTTCATAACAGGTCATAACAAGGAGTCATCTGTTTGAGGTGATTCCCTTCCTTCCTTCCTTCCTTCCTTGCTTCCTTCCTTGCTTCCTTCCTTCCTTCCTTCCTTTCTTCCTTCCTTCCTTCCTTCCTTCCTTCCTTCCTTCCTTCCTTCCTTCCTTCCTTCCTTCCTTCCTTCCTTCCTTCCTTCTCACACATTCTTTCATTGATTCTTTTGCCTTTTTCTTTGGTCTTTCTGCTCTTTTGTTCTTTCATTTTTCCCTTTGCATGAAAATATAGACTTTACATACGTTCTATCTATACCTGGTATGTCACTGTCTACGGTGGTATCAAGGCCTATGGTCTATGTCTATGGTGGTATCAAGCGCTATGTTACACGGTCACACAGTGCTCTGGCCATGGGACTTAMTCATAGACCGAGTGTGGGAGGAAGACTTCAAAGTTGGCTTCTCTGTTTTCAATCCACCTTATATCCCTTCAAAATTGGCTTGAAGGTCTTTACCAGACCTAGAACATTTAGGTATAGGTTCTACCAATCCAACTTTCATTGAAAGAGCTCTATAGAGAAAGCCCCTGGTCAAAGGATGAGCAACCAGAACACATCAGGGTGTTCTGATGGACCTCAGAAGATCATTCAGTCTATTCCCTGGCCTGAAGACTGGCACGATAGTGCTGCAGTGTCTCGCTGGACGGCCTCACCAACACGTTACATGGCTGCTGCTTCATGCCAGCTACCCTGCCAAAGTAGGCAGGGGCTGGGAGTGAAATAAGAGAGCTGAAATGACAAGGTAAGGAAAACACAAATTGCTGAGGTTGGGTTTTGTCAGATAATTGATAATAACACTCCTAATCCCCAGATAAGATGCATTAGAAGGAAGTTTTAATGATAAAAATGTCATAATTTGGGKTTTTTCAGGTTTCTCTGAAAAGACAGCACTTGCTAATGTCTGATACCATCTAATTGTGTGTTTGGGGTGGAATCACAAAAAAAAGGGGACCCTTCTGAAACCAGTAAGTTGAGGTTGGTCTTCCTGACTATTCCCAGGGAAACCCCAGCAGGGATGTCACCCCTTAGTGCCTCTTCCACACATCTTGGGAAGGCAGCGCGGGAAGTCCTGCGAATGGGAAGGGGCTCCCCTGTTACTGTGTGAAAGCAAGCGTCTGTCCCCACCTGACAGGACAAATGTTCTCCCTACGTGAGGCCGGGTTTGCAGAGGGAGGTCATGTCTCCTGTCAGACTAACTGACATAGCAAGAAGATAAAAAAGAAACAGCAGGGCGAGCCTCGGAAACACTTTTCCCATGTGAAAGCCATGCAAAGGGATTCTCCATAACCTATAAGCCCCGCCGTTCCCAGCATTGCTGGGTGTAGGTGTTCACAGCCCTGAGACGTGTTGCTTTAGTGTCTTTCTGAATGGACACAGGAGACAGAAAAATAAATCTGTGCTCTTCCACACTCTGCTTGACTTCACTTTCAACTTCRGAGTCTTCAGTGAAAAGTACAGGCTTGAAATTATTCTGAAGTTACAGCACCTACAAGACTTCTACCAGATGGAAACCTGAAAAAAAAGATTATTTCTCAGATGCATTGCTCATTTGTTTGGAGTAATTAGTACATGTAAAAACCAAAAATAGACCCTTTTGCTTTGATCCTTTCCAGTTGGATTCTGTGCTTGACGACCCAGAGCACATGTCTGAATATTCTGCACTTGAATTGCTGCTGCTCCCCTTCAAAACTCAACCACCTTTTCATATACCACCCACCAAACTGCCAGTGGAGATAAGCCCAGAGGACACCAGTCAGTGCCACAGCCTCTCACTTTTTGCATTGTCATGGGCTAAAGAAATCATGGTTGAGTTCACTTGCAAAATTTGAAGTGCCTTGATGACAAGTCGGTGCTGTTCTTCTCTGGTTATTTAACCACMTACTACAGAAAAAATGAAGTGAACAGCTCTGGTCTCCGATGAGGAGACACAGGGTCATTTGTGGAGCTACCTCTTGAGTGGGGGCATCACCAGCAGCATCACCAAAACATCTGGGTCCCACACTGATGACATTTATCTGACCACAGGGTCTTCCAAGTTGTCCTGACATTTGGGCTCCAGGCAGTTGCTTTTGGAGGGTGGGAATGCCATGGACACAGTGCAGCCTTAAAGGCTTCATGCTGAATGTGAGGGAGACCTAAGAAGAAACCTAAGACAAATAAATGTCCTTGATTTGTACAAAATCCAGTCCCAAATGCGACCAGCAGCAAATACAACTATTCCCTCTCCCCAGGTTCTGACCTCTGCACGCTGGTCAGTGAATGGCAACGCTGCCACTGGCCAGACCAACACTTAGGTGTTCAGGTCCAGCAACTGGTTTAAAAAAAAAAATCTCCTTCTTTATGCTAAGCATTAGAAATGGTATCCTGAATAAGAGATTAGGGCTAACACTGTACATTATTTCCTGCAAGGGATTAATTAAACCTCAACATTTCTCAGAGGTAGTGCGCAGAAAGTAATCCGTTCTTTTCAGTGCAACCTGAATTAGTAACAAGTTTCTCATTTGTTTCCAAACTTGCTCCATTGCAGAATGAAATGTGAGCTTGGAATCGCCTCCAGCAACTGCTTTAAAATGCATAATAACAATAAAGATCAGCTATGTCTGAAGGTGTCAAATACTTCTCCTCCCTTTACTTCTCCTCCCTCTGCTTAGGCTGCCCACTCAGCAGACCTGGCTTCCCACAAGATCCCAGACATTGCCAAAACCGTTTGTTTCGCCTAAGAAGAGGTCCCTAATATGGCAACCACGTTGAAATCCCTCTGTCTGGAGAAGTGGCATGGAGAACGTGGAGCCAGGAGCAGAGCCCCAGAGATGGGATGTTGCCCGTTGCTGGTAAACATTCCCAGGGGCATATTCCCAGGAAAGGAGGATGACTGAATAAGCTCCGTGGTGCTGCAGGATCTCCATGGCCAAGCAGCATCTGGGCATGTCCATGCATTTCACCCTGAGGAGTTTCCCAGGTTTCTTGGCCCTCTCCAGGGACACACTGTACAGTGCAAGCAGCTGCTTCCTTAGCCACCCCCCTGAATCTGCTGTTTCTTTTTTGGTCTTGTTTAAACTCACCTTCCTGTTTGCCTTGATTCTGCTCTTCATCCTCAAAGTCTTGATGGATCTGCTAAGGGCTTTGGAGATCAGGAGGGTTTCCACAGGTCTGGCTTGTATTACYAGAGGGCAACTTTTCAGCTGCCGGCTGATGTTCAACATTCCCGGGCTCCTTTGCCTTACTGAGGAAACGCAGGGGCACAGACACTGTGCCGTGCAAAGACATATGGATTTACATCAAGATGCAGGAGTCATGAGGACCTCTTGACCAAATCCGCTTGGACTGAGTTTGAAGATCTTGTTTTGGGCTGGGGGAACCAGGCAAGCCCAGAATGGGAAGAGAAGGAAGTGCTGAGCTGGTTTTCTCCAGTCTGGAGCTTCTTCAGTGGGACTTGCTGGTTACTCCCCACTGCCAAATGCCTCTGGCCACAGTGTCCAAGAGGAAGCTGCAGAGTTTCAATCCTAGCAGGGCCWATCTATTCATCTTGCTTTACACTTCCATCAGAATAAAGATTCTTGGAGTCTCCCATGTCCCTCTTTGGAAAGAGGGGCCTCTAGGGATTGAAGTACTATTAATAATTAACTCTTTTTAAAGTCAGGTAACAGATTATCTATGTACCAACATCAAATCAGTATATGCAATATGCTACCAGCTTGACAAGAACAGCCCTCAAAACCACTTTTATACTTAGCTTATATATATATTTTGCTGTCAGGGTTTCACATTTCATAGACCAATTAAGTACAAAAACCTCAAGTTTAAGAGTGTCAAGGGTTACCATTTCTGAAAGCAGAGGGCCAAGCAAACAATTTTGAAAGATCCTGTTTTGTTTGCACTACAGCCTAATGAAATACATGTATTTTGTCATCCTGGCAGAGCACTCTATTTTTCTCCAGCTAGGCACTGAAAAAAGCACCTTGCTGCATCTTTTCATTCTCTTTATTTTCCGAAGAGGCCAAGGCAGCTCTGTTGGCTTTTTGTCCACCGGGCACACTGTTGTTTTTTCCAAAAGGAAGACCTATATCCAAGCATTTGCTCTTCAAGGGCCGATTTGCAAGACCCTGATGCAATGCAATGGCACGCTTGTTTTTATTGAACCTGGCCATGAACTTCTGCACATCCCAGGTCCTTTCCAAGCCCCGCTGTGAGGGGTCCTGGCCTCTGGGCTCACATGCCACCCTATAAACTTGCCAGCACTAAGGAAATGGGGGAAGCAGAAACAGCCCCTGAATTAACCTGAGCTCATTTGCACCTCTGCAGTTTTCTGTACCTGGTGTTTGAACGCTGCTGGGTCACGTTAAACTGTATCCCAGGGCCCAGTTTTTGACAGACCTCAATAAAACCATAGGTGCAGGGCAGGACTAAACGTGCTTGCAGGTCTTTGCAAAAATACTGCGTCCTTGTTTAACTAGAAACGCTAACATAGGCCAGTGACCGCTCCCCAAGCCAGCGCCAGAACTACACTGCAATAAACACCATAAATCTGGCTTTTGCCTCTCACAGTTTCAGTGCAGCTCAAGCTAATCAGAGAAGTAAAACGACGTGAAAAACAACTGCATTTACCAAACCGCAATTGCTTAAAGTCTTGGGGCACGAAGCGGGAGTTCTGCAGCATTTTGGGCAAAATCCACGAGATGGCGATAGAAATTTCCATGTCCAGAAGCCAGCAGGTCCGCGGGGCCGGGGCGAGTCACTAATGGCAGCTTTGGGTTACTTCATCCATCGGCGCTCGCTCCGCAGCCTGCATTTGGAGCCTGCACCTCACCTGAGTCATTTCAAGAAAACTGCCTTTCGCCAGTAAAATGAGCCATTTCCCAAGGGATTCGCCACTCACTCATGGCTCTGCCGAAAGAGATTTTGCAACAAAGTGAAAAATCAATTGGGATTTTTAATTAAGACACAGAGAGGCACAGGGACAATGCCTCATTTTGGTGGGATTCCTCTCACCCCCCGAGTTCGCCCCTTCCCCAGTTTTGTGCGACAGGCATGTGCAAGCTAGATGTCAGGCGAGATCGGAATATTACTACTTTTAAAACCTAGTTTATCACCTTATTTTTTGCTTGGCAATCCTTCCTCCTGTCTGGAAACACATATTCCATAGGCAGAAATCCAGCCTCTTTACTTGTTTGAAAAAATAAATAAATACTGGACATTCCTATCGACCGAATTAAGTGGTCTGAGTTTTATGTGGTGCTGCTCTGCCCCAAGGGACTCTGTAGGGTTTTAGAGAGGAAAAACATAATTAGGAATGGGCAAGGCTGGCAGGATGGCAGAGGCAGCTTTACCTGTCACKAGGGAACCAAAAGCGTGTTTTTGGGGCAGGGGGACTATTTTCTTAGACTCTCCCTTATAAACCTGCCCTTTAACTTGATGCTGAAAGGGTGGACAGATTGGAGAGATTTATTTTTCTGCTAGTTTATATATAACTCGCTAAGCTTTTTATTTTTTTCAATGAGCTTCCTACGTCCAATTTAAGTCAAAATTTAATGATCCCTGCAGTAATTCATTTAAGAGAACAGCTTCAATAAGTGCTGTAGCATAAGTCAGGGAATAACCGTCCTTGTTCACAGCGCTGCGATTAATCAACTTTATGAAAATTAGGATCAACTGGGGAGATTTGCATTAAGTGAGAAGAGTCAGAAACTTCTCCCTGCCTAAAATCAGTGGGAGCTGTTTGGATCATGGAGACCGGASTCCCCATCTCTCCCTCCGAATTGTCTTCATGTCCTTGGGGACCATCAGCATCCAGTGCCTGATGGTGATGGGCCACCTCAGCCCTTGTCAAAAGCCACCAACATTACTTAGTGAGGACAAGCAAGTCGCCACATGGGGCAGCACTTAGGGAAGGAAAGGGTGGTGGGAGAAGTCTTTATTCTTGGTGTTTTAGGTGTGTCCCTCACCACTCTGAGATGGGGGCATTAGCCCAGCTTTCTTCTATGGTGGACACAGAGACGTCAGGGAGGTTTGGTCCAAGCCAGCAAAAGCCAAAGCAGCCCAGGCTGCTCGGAGGAATCTGGCCAGCCAGGAGGGACCCATCAGCTTTCCAGACTCACTCAAGCACTGCTGTGATTTGTGCATGTCCCTCCGTGCACATGGGCCCGCTGATCTTTCCCATGTCCCTGGAAAGCGTGGCCAAAGTGAGCAGAACAACCATTTGTCTCTTCTTTTTTTTCAAGAGCCTTTATGATGATGGATGAGGAACCTTTTACTTCATTCAGCAGCTTGCAAAYGAATGAGCTGCCTTCGTCACCTCCCCACTGGGCGAGCGCTGCCCCATGGGCTGTGCAGGGCAATGGGTGCAGGGGGAGCCGGGCCAGGCACAAGTGCTTTGCTGGGTGTGAGCAACTAGTGTTTCTGGAAATAAACACAAGCAAAGTTGGAAACAAATATAAGCCAAGTTGGATACTAAGGGCCTCTGTGCCCATGCATTAACCAGGATGGTTTCAGTCTCCTGCAGCAATCTGGGTTACAGCCATGTAGGACCATCCATGAATTCTTACTCATTTTAATGGCCGTTGAGCATCCAAATCCCTCTGGTGTGACTGAAAATCTCATCCCTAATTTCTGTGATGTGCCTCGGTTCCTCATGTGCTGCTCTTGCAAGTGCTGGCTGTTACGGAGCACACTGAGAAGCGGGATGGAAGCATCATTGGTGTCACCGTCCCCATTGCTGCTGTCCTTAGGACATCAGGGTGCCAGTGCAGAGAGCAAGGGCCATTGGAGGAGGGTGTCCCACTAGTGACCCCTGCAAGGACAGGGACATCAAGCATCAACCTGGTGGGACAGCGAGGCTGCAGGGGCTGATCCAAGTGCAGGGAAATTCATCCTGCAGCGCTGCCCCCAGGTTGTCCTGCTCCCAACAGCCACAGGACACTCCGAGCAGGAAACTCCCATCTCTGTCTGCAGTGCAAAGACAGGAGATCAGGATAATTCAGAAGTGCTTAAGAAACTAGTCTATTTGAAACATTTCTGATAAAAAATAGCAGAGCGTTGGGGGAAAAAAATGCTTTCTTGCATAGTAAACGACTTGGCATCTCTGTCGCCTGCAACATTTGGAAATGAGCCCTCGAACGCGGCAGCACTTCAGCAGGCGGGTCCCGGGGACAAGCACGGGCAGGGACGAGCCCTGYGTGACACTGACTCGGATTGGGAGCAGCGCAGGAAGAGGAGCTTTCCCCCCGCTTTGGTGGAAAAGCAAATGGGACACAGGAGGGAAGCAAATCCAAGTACCTGATCCATAGTCCTGTGCTTGGATCCGCGTTTCCTTGGCACATAGAGCAGTGCAAAGTCCAAATATCAGGACAGAAAAAAGATGCACTGGGCACTGCTCCCCGTGGAAGGGGAAAATTCTGTGTAATTAAAACTCGATCCTGGAAAGACCAGCACGCTGGGAAAAGACGCCCCTCCCAGTGCTGCAGTTGCAGTGGCAGATGCCCGGACAGGAAGGACGGGTTTGTGGTTACGGCACTTCGCTGTGATCTGAGATTAAACCCGGGTTTAATTCCACCAAGCACAACCTCCCTGCCTGCGCTTGGACAAATCACCGAACATCGTCCYGCCCAGCTCGCTACATAAACCAGGCTAATAGCTCTGCCTTTTTGCCACACATAGTCCATGCCTGGGAGAGTTTGTGCTTTTCACAAAGTTTTCACATTGCAAACGGAGGCAACACATTTYCGGAGCGACTTACCTGCAAGAAGCCAAGTTCTCTCCTTAAAAGCAGYGTGTGTATTACCTACAACCAGTTCTTCCTTGTGAAACCAATTTATATATGTAAGAAAAAAACATCACGGTGCCCTAACCTGCCTGAATAGCTTGGTAGCCAGCGAACCTGAGCACTGGCCACTCAGGGCAGGGCCCTCTCCAGCCAAGCGCGGTCCTGCGGGAAACTTGGCATTCCTTGCAGGCTGCGTGTCAAGAAGACTAAGAAACTTTACATCAACACAGCATGGATTTTCCTTCTACCAAACTACTCTGCAATCTGTAATTCTTAACCTCACAAGTTTGAGATTGTACCTTAACATTTGCAGGAAGCAGATGGCTTCCGCGCGCTGCCAACCTGTTGTTACAAAAGCATCTTCCAAGAATTGTTTTCTACCCACAGTCGCTAACCATAATTAACCTTTCATAGGATTTAATAAACAGGAAAAAATATTTGCCATCTCATATTAATAAAGAGAACTCTTTAGGAATTCTTTCCCCCTCTTCTAGAACATGGGAGCTGCTGTAATTTTTTTTGTGCACATTTTCTGGTGGCTTTCACCCCGTTTGGGCGTGCAGCTTACCTATGAAGATTAAAGCTGTGAAGGACAGAGCCATAACAGAGGAACAAAACRCCTTCTGGCATGGCACAAAATGACCTCACGCTTAAGCTTAAATTAAATAAAAAGCAAGGAAAACAGAAGAAAGAACAGGGAGCCTGTGGAGCCGGGGCAGGGAGGGAGCCGAGCTCATACTGACAGCCCCAGTGCTATTGAGGGAACCAGCCCCATTTTACACCTTTCCTGCTGTTAGGATTTACATATATATATATATCATATATTTTGTGGG